AAAAAAAATAAAAAGGATCTAGATGCTATTTATCGTAAGCGTCTAGTGGCTTTGGGAAATAAAAATAAAGAGGGATAATGCTTTCGTGTGCATGTAAATTTTATGAATCATATGAATATACAAGTCAAGTAACGAATAAATAAAATTTATATGAACTGAATAGAACCCAACGAAGACGAAACTATTCATGAGAAGGGTACATTTTTAACTAGTTCGGGCAAAATAGTTATCATGGAAATAAATGTGGTTAGACTTCCCAACATAAATAAAAAAGAATATCCCGATGATTTTAAATTTAGTTTTATGGTTCTTAACGAAAAAGATGAGCAAGAATATGTGCGTTTAGATAATCATAAAAATAAGCCTCCTCACTGACATGACAATGAGAAACAAGACTTTTTTGAATGAATTTCCTTGGAGAGTACTTGGGAAATGTTTATGCAGATGGTCGATAAAAAATTTGGTAAAATCCTTGGTCGCTTAAAACAATAATATAACTATGAATATAACAAAAACTTTTATACTTAAATACGATCCAACTTTTTCTCCGGATACCATGTTGGTTAATTTGCAAAAGGCGTGGCACGGAGAGTTGAAGTTAATTGAACCTCATATCGTGAAGTCAAATAACATCGATGCTCTTCTAGTTAGTTTTAACAAAACACGTTTGACTCTTTTTAAAACATTAGGAAGATTAAAGCCCGATAACTTAAAGCAAGCGGCTGATTATTTGCAAAGAGATTATGAAGAAGTTGAAAGAAACGCCAAGGTACTAATTAATTTCGGAGTTATTAAACTACTAGAAGATAAACCGGTAGTTCTTTATGATCGCATCGTTTTAGAAACGCAGGATCAAACATTCTTAATTGCTGAGGCTTTTGCTAAATCCGAAAAAGAACTCGGTCAACATATCTTAATAAAACCGCAAGAGCCCACGGGGAAAATATACATTTATGATCAAAAATAAAGAAGAATTGAATTTTTTAATAATTGCTGACCAACCGAGAGTGAAAGAAGAATTAGACCGGGAGGATATGCGGAGAATGCGTTTAGAAA